GATTATAAGAAAGGGTCGGGTAAGAAAGGTGTAAGAATTGGTGTTAAAGAAGTGCTGAAGAAGCAGAAGAAAGTACTGAATTAATCCCAGAAAATAGTGAAGATGGCTCAGAGTACGACTATTATGAAAAATGACAAATGACTAGTCATTTGGTCATTTCAAGGCCTAAATGGCTTAGAAGGTTATTTAACATATGTTAATTAATATTCTAATGCCCTTTATCAAATCAGAAATGGCTGCCAAACAAAATTAAGATATAATCAATAATCGTAGCAACTATACATTAAAGTTAAATTTTACTAAGTCAATTAATATTTGCCTTGGTTATTCGAAGTAATAAATTACATATGTTCTAAAATTTCATGTAAGCTGAAGAACTTTTATTAATTTACTTCCGCACTTTAAATTTACTGTATTCGAAAGTTAATTAATAAAGCTTTTCAATTTATAAATATGGTAAGATTTTGACTTTATTGATTAGGAAGGTAATAAAGTTTGATAACTTTTATATGAGCAATTTACTAATAAAGTTATTTTATATGTAAATGATCTAAATGAACTTAATAGCCCAAATGATTATTTGATGATTTGGGCTATTTAAATTTCGATAAAACGACTAGTTCATTTACTATTCTCAGGTTGGGTCAGGCATATAAATTTTTATTGGGCTTGGGCCGGAGTCTACAAATAATGAATAAATGGCACCGGTCATTTCTAAATGACCATGGTCATTTGGTCACGAGTCATTTCCAAATGACCCAAAATTAAGATGACCGGTCATTTGAAAAATTTGCAAATGGCCAGGTCATTTACCATCCTGTTCAATATTCAGATATAAGATGTGTTTTTACTTTGCATAAATTTTTAAGTTATTAATAATTTATTGATAAATGGCAATAAATAATTAATGATATAATTAAACTAGTTGTGCTTGAATTAATTTCTTCTTTGTCTTATAATTAAATAGTTTGATTATTACCATATGCCTAAAATTGTTACTTGGATGTAATGGTTGAGTTTTGTCCATGGTGTTTATCACATAGTCCATAATTTCGATAGTCATATATAAACAGGAAGAACCGTACTCATCCAAAGTTAATCACATAAATAGTGTGATTAATTAAAACTAAAATTATTTATATTAACCTTAATTGTGATAAATATAATCTCTCACCAATTTTAATGTGTAATATTAATGGTTCCTCCTGTTTCATGTATATGAATTGTAGAATTAATAATGGATAAAGCATTATATACTATGTATTTATCACTATTATATTATTTGTCAATAAGCATTGCTAATATTTATATTACTATCACTATTCGTTTATATGTTTGTCATTATGACAAACAGAATTTTTAGATTATATCTCAACAATTTTTATGCAAAGGGTTTTTAAGTAACATTTATGATCTAAAATCTTTGAAATTATTAAGTTTTATGAATATGATTTATGTTTATATATCGTAATCTTGTATATAACTCTATATACCACCAATATGTTTTTATTGTACAACTATTGGTGAGCGAATTTATATTGCTGATCAATCTATTGAATCTATTCAATTCGTTCAATTCGTTCAATCCATTCAATCCCTTCGATTCGTCGACCATCCGTACGGATTCATGTGCGATCTGTTCAATTATCAATTCGTATGGATAACTGTGTGATCCGTATTATCCAGATTTGAACGGATCACACCACTACTTTAAATAGCTACTTGTCAATTAAAAATATTTACTGCATATTTAACAAAAAAATGCTATTGCCAAAAGTTACTATTTAATTGATTAAAATTTTTTTTGAATTTTTATTATCATTAAATAAATTTAATTTCAATTTTATAAAACTGATAGTTAGCTAAATATTTTTGTTACAAATTCTTGCTAGTTATTTTTTTATAAAAAAGATTTAAATAATTGAAATAATGTTAATGAATTAATTAGCAACTACTATTGTGAAAATGCAATATTTGCAAATTGAACAAAAGTTCTTTAATATTGTTAAATCTTTTAATTACGAATAGAAAATTGGTATCTAATTTAATAATAAGTTTTACTTTCTTAAACATTATTCAATTTAAATTTGGCTGATATGAAATGTACTGATAGGATAATTAAGGAAAATATTCCTACTAAGACTTTTCAACCTTATTTTTAAAATAAGTTAACTTTGAAACCCTAATAAAATTAAACAACCCAAAATGATATAAATTACCTGCAAATTACAACACAATTCCAACAATTCAAATTCTTTAATAAAAGTCTTTTAAATTTATTCGCATGGCAAATCCCCATTAAAACACCGATTAATACAATTAAGATTGTGAGTGTAAATTCTCCAAAAGAGTCGAGTTGCTCCTTATTGATTTTTTTTTTCCTTATATGCAAGATTCACGAGCAGACTTAGCCAAGCAATCTCAGTTCAACATTGCACTTCCAATTCTGATAAAAAAAAAAAATTTTCTCCAAGGATGGACGAGTGGCATCAAATTCATTTTCGAGACCAGAGGATAGCATAGAGACTCTATCAAATTCATTTTCAGGACTGGAGGATAGCATAGAATGCAACAAAAAACATATATTTATATCGAAGATATTCAATTATGTGATTATAGCTGTTTTCATAAATTCTGTGACATCTAAAAATTTGTTATTTCCCGAAACCTCTTCGATCTCGTTCTTAGAATTACCTAACTTTTCAAAAACTACTTCGCTGTTCTTGGAGCTTTGGTACAGACAGAGTAGTTGTTTCCGGAAAGTTAAATAATTCTTAGAATGAAATCGAAGAGGTTTCAGAAAACGAGCAAATTTTTAGGTGTCCTGGAATTTATGAAAACAGCTATAATACTTAAATTCACAAAACTTGTTTATTGTGAAAACAAAAGACATTGTATTTATAGCAATTAAACTATTTACTAAATCTACTTGTTCTAACAAAGTATCTAGGTAATACAGTATTGAACTAATTTGATAGCGATAAGTCAGACTAATCATTAATTTTATTAATTTTGTATACATCCGATCAACCAGTCAATTGAGCTGAATGATTACTAAATGATGCTCCATTGGTTTCATTCGCAGATCTATTGGACTCTTTGCCCGAGAAAAATTTATTTCTATCAACGTTTGAATGAAGATTCAAAAAAAAAAAAATCACTATTTTACTAAATTTATACAAGTTAAATATCTGTGTGAATTAAACATAAACATATTTCCAATTTTCGGATTTTAGATTGTTATTTTTTAGGGACAACAAAAAATGTCTATTCTTTTCCACAATTGGTATTAACATATAAAGATACATAATCGTGATAATATTTGAAAGTACATTACGAATAATTTCAGATGGTAAATCTAGAAATTCATACTCTATTTAGTTAGTAATCAAAATTTAAATTGCGTTATTGAACAACAATGAATCAGAATCAGCGTCATAATTTACTTTAAACCAACAAAGTGTATTGTTATATACCTAATATAGATTGATTATAGTTTTTTTCTTTCCTATTCAAGTTGACTATAATTTTGGCTAAATAATGACCCTTACAGCAAACTTCAACAGAAATTACTATTCGTTTACACAACAATTTTCTTTTAAATTTATGTGCAAGGCTCCTCACTGATTTTACCTCCAATGTCCCATATCGGCTGTTTTTTGATAAATAAATGTCTTATGTTCATCCTTTTCAACTTTAATATTTTTTATAGTTGTTAAATGAAAAGACGAAATCTAGACCCATAAAGAAAACAGACTCACCATTTGCTGCTAAACAGGTAGGTATCTGTCCCAATCATAGGAATACATGATCTATGAAACACCAAATTCTTTTGACGATAGGAATTTAATAATGGGGTAAGGTTCGGTTTTCTGATTTTGTAATCTATAAATCCTATTTATTTGTAAACTTATATATCATCAAAAAAAGTTTGCTTATTTTATCTCCGGATAAATTCTATTTCATTTTCTGATTTCGAAATTTCAAACCAAAATTAGACTTTTCAAATAAATCGACAGACTCTCCAAATTACAGCAAGCCTCAACAAAAATTACCATTCGTTTACACAATTCCAACAATTCAAATTCATTAATAAGAAGTCATTAAATTTATTCGCAGGGCTCCTCACCGATTTTACCACCAACATATCTTTTTTTCTGCCACAACGGATATCACATGCAACTGGCTTATTTGCAAGATTCACATATCCAAGAGAATATGAGATCTTTGATATTCTAAAAGAAGAATTAATTCAATACGAAAAAATATTCTTCAAATAATTTAGTCTGCGCCACAACCTAGTTATCCAGATAAAAACATATTTCTGTAATACTCAAATATTTGTATTTTTTTCTTTCATTGAATTGATTACGGTATGTGTGATAATTAATACTGCTTCTCATAAATATTAAACATTTCAATTGAGACAAAAACAATTTAGGATCATGGAATTTAATTGTTTCTTTTTGTAGCATTTACCTTTATTAGATTCTTGTCTAATTTGTCGTATTGTACCTGTAGTAAAGCTTGCTATTTATTTATTTGACTGGAAAAATGATAAGGATATAAAAAAAGTTTAGCGGGCTTGAAACCTTTAATATTTTGTCACGCTAAATAACAAAAAAGACAAGCATTACTCATCCTTATTGGTAAAAATAAAAAATTTATTGCAGTCAAGCGGACATAATAAACACTGACGGTTTTCTACTTTTAAAGTCTCTTTCGATCAATTCTTTCTTTATCTTTTATTCAAAAAAAATTTTTAATCGTCATGATAACAACATGCTAGTTACTAAATTAGTTCCTTTTTTATTGTTATTATTTTATGGCTTGTGATTCGGCGGATATGAATTTTGAAAAAAATTTAATTCAAATTAAAATTGTAAGCAATAATATAATTTCTAGCAAAATTAAGATAATTCCGGGCCAGATTAAAAATAATTTAAGTATGATTCCGGCAAAATTAGTATAATTACAGTAAATTCAGGCAATATATATATATGTTAGGTGTTTCAAATTCAAAAATCACAGGGTATGATATTTATTTTTAAAATTTATAAATTTTTTTTATAAATATAAGGATTCCATCCTGTTAAGGAATGGTGTTGGCATGCAGCGCGTTTTCGTTCAAGTCAACCCAATGGTTTACTAAGTTAAAGGAATGGTGTTGGCACGCAGCGTGTTCTCGTTCAAGTCAACCCAATGGTTTACTAAGTTAAAGGGAACACAGCGTGTTCTCGTTCATTCAAGTCAACCCAAAGATTTTACTAAGTTAAAAGGAACAAGATTAAAATATACACAGTGTAAAGATGTCTGAAAAAAATTTATCTATTAGTGATATGGTAAAACTTGAAAATTATTTATCTTTTCATACTTATGTTGTCTCTTCAGTTCAAGCTTTCTTTTGTTCTCATATAGTCCAGCCATCAAAAGAATACTCTTTAATATTTTCTTCTGTCATGTTAATTTTTTTGTCTATTTTACATCAGCAAATTTATAAGACCATAATATTTCATAATAATTTACGAACCGTAAAAAAGCCATAATATTACGTAAGAAATTTCGAAATATTGCGAAATATCAAATTATGAAATATTACATAAGATATTTCAAAATTTTTTACATAATATTATGGCTTTTTTACATTAAGCAAAAAAATTTCGAAATAGTTTGCATATATGCAAATAAAGCTACAAACTTT